TTACGCCTTAGAAAAGGGAGACTCTGGGGGAACACTGAGCAACCATTGTTCAACCTGGAGTTTCTCCCCTCTCGTGAGCTCAGTCCTAATGTCAACTGCCAGCGAATTTTGAATGCCTCTGGCTTGTATGTGCCGCCCCCCTCCCTCCTCACTCCCCCATCTAAGGACAGGAGCGCCCCCTTCATTTGACGTTCTGTACGATAAGCGACAAAATAAACTTTAATAGTGCAATAGGTGACAAATTTCAATTTCACCTCAGCTATGCCTTGTGACACGAGTGGCCAACCATTTTTGGAGTATGCTTGTTTCATTAGGATAATATTCGTTTTGGTGATATAATATCTTGGTTCACATAACTTGGCCTACCATGTGCGTTGGGCCATTGACCACGTGCACGGTCGGGGGATCAATTTCCGGGGTCAGATTACAACAGTTTGTCTACCAAAATGGGAGCTCAGTTGGTGTCGGGAATTCACTTTACGGGGTTCAACAAATGGAGTGCATAGCCTCTAACTAATATACTACAGCCTGGGGACAGATTTTGCCCATAACCCGGCATTCTTTTGAGTTTTTTTGCAGCACGAGCTGCGGCGTTAAAACACCAGTTAACAATCGAAACAAGCGAAAATACCTAAACATTACTGTGCATCAGTCAGAAATAAGCGATTAATTAGCGCTAAGGGGCACATGGGAGTTCAGTATTCATTTGTGGCGAAGTTCTTGACTTCTCGTTAGCTTGGAACATTGCCAAGAATGGTGATTGACTGGAATAGGAAGGTCTTGATCTTGCTCCGATAAAACTGACATCTAACAACGTACAACAATGTAAGTACCTTTCTTCTATTTTGGGAAAGTTGAGTTCGCATGCTTTGTGGGTGGAAGTCCCGCTCGTGCCGACTGGGATCCTTATCTCATTAGGGTGGTTAACTGTTACTGAGACATCTATGATGTTCACCACACCCACCGATTGAAGTGATTTGGATCAACTAACCCACACGATCCATCATATGCACTGGGTGATTACTCATTCAAAAAGTCACTGCGAATCTGAGTGGAAGTGGAATGCGGGGCGCATCCCGGAAGTAATCGGCCGACTGAAAGAGCCTCAGTTTATATATTCACACTAAATGGAATTCTGTGTTTCAGAAAGGTAGATAATGAGTTGTGGGTGGGCCGAGTTGGTGAGATGTGGAATTTCTTCGGAACCATCCACAGCTCACGAAAGTTCGTTCGGATCAAATCTAAAGTAGTGCACTACGCTTTCTATGGTGA